GCCTTCGGCTCAGGTCATGATCCCAGGGTCCTGGGATCGAGCCCCGCATCGGGCTCCCTGCTCCGCAGGAAGCCTGCTTCTCCCTCTCCCACTCCCACTCCCCTTACTTGTGTTCCCTCTCTCGCTGTGTCTCTCTCTGTCAAATAAATAAATAAAATCTTTAAAATAGATTGAAATATACTGGCTCAATGCTCCCAGTCTTCTCACATACTAAAATCATCTAAGTTAATATTCAAAATTCTTGCTTATTGGTTGAAATAAAGATTCTCCTTTCCTCAGCTACAAGAACCACAACGCACTGATTTTTTTCCCATGATTACCAGTGGAATACATGCCAAGTATCTGTCCAAAAAAGCATTATTAACTGACAGACCAATTCTCAATTTTGTTAAGTTTGACAATGGCATGAGGTGAACAGATAAAATAATTTGGCAAGGGGCGCCTGGGTGGCTCAGTTGGTTAAGCGTCTGCCTTCGGCTCAGGTCATGATCTCAGTATCCTGGGATCAAGCCCCACATCGGGCTCCCTGCTCAGCGGGAAGCCTGCTTCTCCTTCTCCCATTCTGCCTGCTTGTGTTCCTTCTCTCGCTGTCAAATAAATAAATAAAATCTTAAAAAAATAATAATAATAATTTGGCAAAATGCTGAGAATTGGCGAAGGTGGGTAATGGGTACATAAGGATTCATACTATTTCTTGTGTGTATGGTCAGAATTTTCCAAGGGACCAGACTCCTCAAGAAAGACGAGGACTCAGATAAACAGGGAAAAAAAAATTCCAAAGCAAAAATTAAAAAGAAAACCAAACCATAAAATACAAATGCCAATCAGTGAAATAAAAATCTTTCCATAGGTCAGACAAATGTTAACAGAGATTCCAGAGGCCATGTGTTTAGAAGCTGCTGCGACTCTCAGTACAGCTGAGTTTTCACTCGCTGCCTATTCAGCAAGGAAACAAAGGCAGGGAAAGACCCTCACGCCCAGCATCATGCCAACACGGCAAACAAGAATGTGGGGCTTGGAAGGCAAGTTGACAACGGTCTGAATGCAGCCTCCACTCTGCTTACCAAACATGGGCAACGCATGACAGCGCTCTAACCCAACTTCTCCGTATCTTTAAATGGTGAGAATTCTGTCCAAAGAGTACTTCTGTCTAGCACATGGTAAGTGCTCAATATCCGAGGATATTATTTTTTTTAAGATTCTATTTATTTATTTGTCAGAGAGAGAGAGCACAAGCAGGGGGAGCGGCAGGCAGAGAGAGAAGCAGGCCCCCCACCAAGCAGGGAGCCCAATGCTGGGCTCGATCCCAGGACCCTGCGATCATGACCTGAGCCGAAGGCAGACGCTTAATTAACCAACTGAGCCACCCAGGTGCCCCCAGAGGATACTATTTTATTTTATTTTTTTATTTTTATTTTATTTTTAAAGATTTTATTTATTTATTTGAGAGAGAGAATGAGAGAGAGAGAGAGCACATGAGGG